CCTCGTATTTATTTCTAAAGCAAATATTTACTTGTACACTTTTTATTGTTTTTGAGGACATCTGTTTGTTGATTTTGCTGCCCATATGTCTACCATTGGTTAGTGCGCTGCTATCCAGCACGCTTGTTGCATTGTGTGCTTGCAATATTTGTCTGAAAAGTTGCATTGTTGATTAACTTAAAATATTGGTTGACTTTATGATGCGAAAATATCGTCAGACACTAGGCATCAGGTATGCTGTTGGTATATGCTCAATTTATTTTATTTTATATTTTTAACACATTTATTTTATTATTTATTTTTGTACGAACATATAAACTAACATGTTTTTAATAGCGTACATATAGCGAATATAAATAACTAAATTGTAGTTGTTGTTGTTAATGTGGTAAGGACAAAAACACTGCTGAAATATTTTTGCAGAATACTGCCGTATTAACAGTTTTTAACCGAATAAAATACCGGATGAAGTATACCTTCCTTCCGTGTAACTTCCACCTTATATATTAATTATTACATATTTTGTAATCTGCATGCAATTAAGTAGAGATCTAATGAGGTGGTTGGCATAAATTAAATACATACGTTTATACTTTGTTCTGGTTATATTTATACCACATATATTGTTTGTTACTGAATGTATGTTTTACATAAGGATTTATATAGCTGATTTGAACAGAGATAATATGTATACTATTGTTAGTACGATATCTTATTTCAACTAGCACTAGGCCAAGAACATGGGTTTAAACGGTTAAAAATGCATAAATCATAAGTAACATTTCTTAATTGTATATTCAAGTTTTGCAGAAACCTCAAAGTATTTCGCAAGCCTTTTCTAAATAGGAATTGTTAGAGTAATATTCGACTGCAGGTGAGCTTAGCTCTGCCCTACTTATTATTTATTCATTACAAACGTCAGTTATTATTCGTCTATAAAGTGAAGTGAAATTATTGCAATAATGAAATGTTATTATTTATTAAAGACCCCATTAAAGGCAACGTCAGAAATGATATAAAAGTAACGATGTAAGACAAAATAACAGAAAACTCAGAAACATGTGTCAGAAGCGAATGTGACACTTCAGACATAATGTCATGCTATGAGACACACAACCCACACACTCAATGTGCTCATGTGTCAAGAAAAATGCAAATATAATTTTTCCAAATATATTCAAACTATTATATATATACACACATATGTACGAGTAAATCTCTATATACGAACTATTTAACTTGTAATCAAGTAAGAAGGTGTCAGATAAATTTTATATTATAAATCAATTTAAATATCAATTATGGCAAAGTGTTCGCATATAACTTTAACCTGACTTATACGACGTAAGCAATTTCGACTACTACACAAAGTAAAGCAAAGAAATGTGTATAATCAAATTCATCACTTGTTTTTTTTTTTTGCTCACCGAAAGGGTTTCATTTAGCTTGCCGAATTTATTTGACAACACCAATGAAGGTTGGCGCACGTGTAAAGATAATATAAAGTGAATAACTTGAGCGGCGAGCAAAGCAACTTGACGCCCGTAAAACTGCGGTACGAAAACATAAAATTTTACAATGAATAAAATTCTAAGATAAATGGGTTGCTGAGCACACTGAAGGCAGCAAGTCGTGTGTGGCGACACAACATGCATAACATTTGATTTCCGTTTGTACTTATGACTTTTTAAAGATTTCCGCACTTAAGGGAAAAGATTTTGACTGCGGAAATTTATGTGACTAAAGGGGGGTTGGGCGATTGCGTTAGGAAGAAGATAAATGTTATTTCAATTCCAACACTCAAACACACAAACACAGCCACAGCTCATACTATACATGCACGCAAAGAATGAAAATAAACATTTTCGTATTTATAAACACAGCTGTGTGTGTGTGTGGTACGAGAATGCAGCAATTGTAGCTGCAGTTGTAGATATTGTTGTATTTATGTACTGGTGTGTGTGTGTTTAAATGCTTGTGTTTGCATAACAACTTGTAACGCACGAATGTGCAAACAAACATCACAGCTCAACATGTGAGCCAACATTCAGGCGACTTAGCATTATATTTGTATGAGATGCGAAGAACTAGAACCCCATTGGAGTTGAAGTGGAAATAAGCAAAAACGTCAAGCCTCATACGTACAAATAATTGCGCTCAGTTATAAGCAAAAGCAATTTCTTTTACGACAGCTCACTGCCGGCATGAAAATCTCAAACCTGTAGAATTAGTTTCTCAATGAATGATGATGCGGTGAGTACATATTGGTACTAGTTCACAGGTTGAATTAGTTAAGAGCAAGTGAAAAATGTGAGACATTGACTCGCAAATAACTAAAATAATAAAACTTCCATTTTTTTATGATTTATGAGTCCTTTCTTTAGGAAATACTTCTTTTAAGATTTATTGAATTTTATTTTTCTGTCAATAATTCTGTTTATGTTTATATAGTTTAGACTCAGTTTAAATCACTTGGACCTAATTAACTATCATTTTACCATATAAATTGTGCCGCAAATGGGTAAAAGCAAGACAACACTTCCCTTAGCCCCCATATACCTGACGTAAATATTTTCGAACCTGCGGCTTACTTTATACCGCATCTCTCCGTCAATATGTAAGAAATCTTAAAGAAATTCAGAAATAATATTTTTCTAATAAATCTCTTTACATAAATAGATGAAATCACGGCGCTCTATTCCCTAGTTTGATATAAAGTTTTGCCAAAACCTGAGCGTGCTTCTCCGCCTTTGTTCCTTGCAAGTTGCCAGAGTATGAAATTTTCGATTACACCCGAACTTTAGCCCTTTGAGTTAATTATCGGAAATAGTTTTTGTTGAAAAAAGATTCACCACTAGCTATTGATTATCACTAGTTTCTATAGCAAGTACGTATACAGCAAAACTAAAAAATGTTTCTATATGGATAACTAACATTAAGCATAGAGTTCAATTGGCTGCATAGTGGTGTGTGCATAAATATTTAAGTATATTAAGTAAATAACTGCATGTATGTTAAATATTTTATATATTCATATATTCATATATAGTTTAAGAGGATATCATGCACTAGTTGTTTTAATTGTCTCTAAGGGGATTTTGAAGTAGTAAGAGTAAAGTAGAATAAGTAAAAATTTTGCTTAATTTTTGCAACAAATTTTAAAGTTTATTAAGGAAAGTCGTATACAATAGTGTAAATCAAAATCTTTCCCATCTGAAGCTATAATCTTTTACCATCTTTCTGTACATTTACGGATTTTACCGCAAAAGAACTGCGCCGACTTGGTGGCAAAGATTGAATCAATCCAATTTCTGACATCCGTTCTGAGCTGTGAACGGTTTTCCAGTGAGGGGCTTCGCGGTGACTGGAACAAACGTTCAGTTTCAAGCTTTGTAGTTTTTACCTTATATGTCATCACAATAACATAGTCATTAATAGAAATCATATATTTTTGCACATCCGGAAATATTGTTTAGTTTTGATTTTGTTTCCTGAAATTAGTTTTGACAACATGAGAAGTTGTCTCGACACATTGCTATACTAGAAGCAAACAATATGAATGCGTGGCTACGTACCATATGTATGTATGTAAGATATGGTATTGATGTCAGCACTAAACACTATTTACAGAACGCAAATAGCTTTTCATCTCCCACTCAATTTGGCACTGCTGTTGGTTTTTTTCTAAGCACAACCACCAAACAGTATAGTAATACATTTACATGATTTGCATTTTATGCAAAATGCTTTCTGGCTGAACCACCAACGCACCACATCTAGCTGCAAAAATTGTAAAGGATTCGATAGCTGGTGAAAACCAACAATAACTAGATAACTATAACTAGATAACTATGACGTGCAACCAACAATTGAGCATCTCTGTTTGTACTCGCCGCCTTCCAACCACGCCATTTTGATTATGCATAGCCACAGGCAGGCGTAAGTTCAAACACGTGGCTATTTAAAATAGCGAAACATCAAAAGTGACTTCAACTATGAGTATTCAATTACAAGGTGCGTTCCAAAGTAAACAGCAAAAAAGTAACAAAGTAAACTCTAGTGGCGCCATCTATATGCCGACTAGTGCGTTAGAATCTGCTATCCTTTATCGACTTTCAGTAAAAATTTCATGACATTTCATCTATTGGAAGTGAAGTTATTGCGTTTTAAGTGTCAGTATGTTTTTGTCATCGGTGCACTCGTTCGAGCATTTCGACTGGTAACTGACGAATGACACGCGTGACGTTTTGCTTCAAAGCATGAATCGAAGCGAAATTGTCCCTATAGACTTTGGACTTTATATAACTCTACAGGAAAATGTCTAACGGTGTGACATCACATGATCTTGGTGGCAAATCAACCGGCCCAAAACGTAAACTTATCTGATTACCGAAGTGTTCTCTTAAAAAATCCATTCATTGATGCGATGTATGGGAAGTGGTGCCGTCTTGTTCATTTCAAATCCTTTATTTTTTTGTGGATAAAATTGCAGCTCTAGAATCTCTTCAAGTTGCTCTTTGTCTCATTTAATCCATCGTTGATGAAAATTTGACTCGAAAACTTCGGATCTTCTTGGAACTTTTGAAGAGCCCGAAGAGCAAAGCGATGTCGCAAGGGAAGGTTGAGCGGCTTCAGTTCTTGCACAAGCTCTATTTTGTATGCTTTCATTTTAAGATTTTGAAGTAAGTCCTAGTTGCCACGGTATTCCACGGTATTCGTGTACACTCTTAGCTACGGCCGCTATATTTTCTTCACTGCGTGCCTGACGTGGTCTATTTGGTTAAATATTATGTAGGTTGAGGGAAGCGCGCGAAACTTATTCTTTACAAAACGTCAATAAAGTTGAACAATATGTAAACGTTGTTCAGGCGTAAGTATTTCTGTAATGAAATGTCAAACAGTACTGGCCAAAAAGTACATGACAGCTTGACATGCGTTGTTCGTTCAGATAACAGCATTTTTATTATATTTACTTATACTTATATAATTACTTCTTACAGATATGAGGACATGTACAACAATCCTACGAAAGGAACCAATTCAGAACATCGTGATGTTGTACTCGACATACTTTCCGACGCACGCGTAGTGGGTCCTCTAATGCAGACGGGTTTATATCATGCCGATGTTAATCGACGCAATTATATGTATGTTTTTGGACATAACAGCGCAACGGGACCGCATGCAAATGTGAGTGAATTTTTAATTTTTTGTTTCTATATTATTTACAAAAATTTTAAAACAAAAAAACTTAAGCTTTAAATATTAAATGTAACAAAAAAATATTGTTTTCTTATGTTTATTTAAAAAACTATGAATTGCATTCGAAAATAGATAATAGTCATTGGCTTTAACACACGGAAACTCTTGACTTTACTGTTCTACATTTCACCTCACACAATTATGCCTCATCAATTTTTTAGATATTTATTTGTCTGGCAGTTTACTTGGTCAAACCACTAAATATGTCGCCATGAATATTGCCAAAATACTCGTAATTCTCTATGTCATTTAATTTGCTCTTGAAAATCAATAAAAGCTATATTTGAAGTTATCAGGCTCGTTTAGATATATTTAGGTATAAAGTGTGCATACTTTCGTACTATATATGTACGCGTGTATGTGTGTATAATGCAAAGATTTATTTTAATGTCTTTACCAAAGCGATGAAAAACTATGCGCTCAACAGCTTCCACTGCAGTAGCTAATATCAATACAAGCGCTATATATACAATCATAAATATATGTATATTGGTGTGTGATAGTACAAGTATATCTATTGTAGGGTGCTGTATAAGTTTGTTAACCGGTGAATGTGTAAAAATAAACAAACGCTCTTCTTTGCCCCATTGACAAAGTTTATATCGCAGTAAAAGCGGAAGGACAAACGGCATTCTGTGGAAGACAAAAGCGTGGAATTTCTATGGGAATACCAGTGGCAAAGCTAACAATGCGCGCGTATACAATAATGACACAATTGCCCTGTAGAGAGTAGTGCTATAACGTAATAATTCAATGCACTTGCTTTATTTAATAAGTTTAATTGACTTTTTTATGCGAAAAATTAACATTCTACTGAAGATTTTTGGACTTGCAAGTAAATAAAAACAAGAAAAAACGTTAACTTCACTTGCACCAAAGCAAGAATACCCTTCACAAATAAAGAAGTTTCGTTACAAAAACTTAATTTTGAGCGCTCAGCTAGGATAGTAGCTATATGCTCTAGTGGTCCGATCTGATTGTAGCCTGGTTTTATACAATAATACATACCAAATTTTTTGAGAACATCTTGTCAAATAAAAACTTTTTCCATACAAGAACTCAATTTTGATGGTTTCGTTTATATGACAGCTATATGCTATAGTGGTACGATATCGGCAGTTCTGACAAAGCTTCTTGGGTAGAAAAAGACGTGCTAAATTTCAGAGCGCAGATTGAGGGAATAGTTTGCGTATATACAGACAGACAGACGGTCAGGCAGACATGGCTAAATCAACTCTGCTGGTCTCGCTAATAATTTATATATATATATTTTATAGACTCTCCGATGATTTTAAGCATTTAGTGAGTGTAATCTGGTAATAGTTACCCACAATCTACTTAAAGATAAAATACATATACAAATGATCTCATAGTTTTCTAATAAAAAAGAATAAACTATTTCGGAGAGTTTACTTTAGAGAGAAAGACGTTCGAATTTAGATGCATAAACTTCGACAGGCAGTCATACACTCTGAGATTTTGTTCTATGGTTATATTATCGCAGAACTGCTCGATATGATTGTGGATTAGTAGATTTTATGTGGTAATGCCAAAAACATCATCGTAATATTTGGTGTTTTCTGGTTTTCTTTTGTTAGTAGAATCAATGAATTATTTTTTGTTTGCAATTGAAGAAAAGCTTTCACAAAGACACGAAAATCCGACTCGAAGCTGTATCAAATATGTCTAGACACATTTTCAAGGCTTCATTAAAATGGATCCTAAAATTAGCTTATTATTGACTTATTATTGACTCGTTTTGCATGTTTTTCGACTTGACATCCCCTGAGTTGTTTGTGGGGTTATTTGAAGAGCAGATTATATAAACTCGTCAAGGGTTCGATCTAGCGATTGTCGAAAAAGGCAAAGATAGTCTAGGCAAATATTATAATCACAGCATTGTCCACTTTTCGAATAATTTTCTGAAGCCTATATGTAGTATTTCAAAATAACATTAGAACTCCACTTAAGTAAATTGTTTCTACAATATTAAAAAATGCATATACTTTTTATTTCAGAGAACCGCTTTCTTACGAAAATTTAGTATCACATCACACAAAAATAAGGAAATTCGGTTTAAAACTAATTTCGAAGTTTGAAATGTGCCTGCAGGGTCCACATAAACAAATATGAACAAATTAAATTTAACAAGCCAGCCGAAATCAAACAAAGAAACAGCCCACATGTACCCAAATACGTCGATACGGCGACTAGCGGTAATGGTGCCGCCAGCGTGTTTCATTTGTTTGCTGAATCTTCGTTATTTTATTTTGTAAGAAGATGAAGCTGCTTAACGCTCCTACCTTACTTACGCGCAATTGCGCTTTGGTCAAAGTGGCTATACGGATTTATGTGCTTGTTTGTGTGTGATTTGATTTTCTGGATAAAGGAGCGTTGCATTTTTTTAAGAATTTCAAAATAATACACACACATATATGTATGCTAACATAGAGCGGTATTGTTATGCCCATTAAACGAATAAAGTCAGCATAATTTGAAAAGTTTTGCGGAAAATGTATTTACTACAATTTTATCGCGTATTTTCGATGAGAACTTAAATTTTCTTCACTTTTGCAAACGCATTTGCTATTTTAGTAAAGGATGCGTTTTCAGCAACCTATCTAGGAGAATAGAGTAGCCCATAGCGTAGATATATTTCCGCATGTTTTCAGGTTTTCTTTCTCTTGAGCTTTTACCAAATTCAAATTCACTGTTTCGTTCCTCATGTTGCGATTCGAAACACGAGGTTAGGGCATATCCTTGCCAATTGTTAATATCAAGGTAGAGTGAGCTACTCTCTCTCTTTCTATCTTAATCTTGATCTTATGCCATATTCCTGGTAAATACGTTTTTCTCTGAAGTCTGAATTAACGCAGTATTATTCGTGCCAAGGAGCATGGCCTCCGCGCTTTGCTTTTTGATACCAGTACCAAATCATATCTTCCATTTATTGGAATCAACACCTAATTGAAGAAAGCACATGACTGAATGCAGCCTGAAGTCATCTTTGGTATCAAATGTGTATTCAAAGAGTCCTTATATTTGATTAAAATAATTCCTCTTTCATAATGTTAACTGGGTATTGCCACAATCATATGTATTTGTGCGTGTAAATTTGTTTTTTGTATTGTAAAACCATATCAACCATATTTTATAATGCTCTGAGCGAATATTTGCCCACTTCGTTGTACCTATGGCAGTGTGTGAGTGCGCATATGATTACAATTTATTTTGCCTTTATTTACTTAGCCTTTTCAGCATAGGGGCGTTGTGTGTTCACACATCACTGTTTTTGGCCCTGTGCATACATATGTTTATACAATATATAGAGAATGCAAATTAAATTAATTAAATTCCAGTTTGAAATACAAAATTATTTCCGGCTTCATAACAGTTGGGGTGTCTGAATATTTTATACAAGTTTTGATTACCAGCCCTTACATGAGCACATCAGCACAATAAGGTAAATAAAGTATGAATATTTCGAGTGCAGAGATTTTAGAGCCGCGAAGATACATTAATGGTAATATTTTATAGTTTAACGTATTTTAGTTTTGTGACCAAATATATATGTTTTTGACAAATATTTCAAAATATGAAGTACTAATGTCATAAAATATTTGCATTGTTAGATCCTGGACATCATTTTAGAATTATGCCAGCCAGTTAAAGTCGCCTTATTTATTTATTTTAGTTTAATTCTTGTGCTGATACATTAATAATTAATCTCGTCTTACCATTACGTACATACCTCCGCTATCATATTTAAAGCTACATCCATAATGATATAATACAAAAAAAAAGCTTTTTAAAACATGATAATACTTTCTGCGAAGACTTCAAAACATGGCCACTCGGGACCTAAATGCCCTAACGACGTGGCTAATGTGTTAGATTTTTGCATCGTGGAAACGCATATCCTTACAAACATACAATACATTATAAATGTAAACATATACGCATAAATAAAAGAGCATAGCGTAAGATTTTAGGCGCATTATGCCACACATCCGGGTATGCCACATGTAACAGGCTTTTGTATAAATGTCACAAGGGATTTATTGCTGTCTACAAACAGCATACATTCTTGTATACAAAAGATTTGTTTTTGCCCCATCTTTACATTTTCGCAGAGACATCGTAGATTCATACATAAATATAATATATATGTATAGGGTCATAGTTTAGGAGTATGGTACTCTTACAAAAAACTAAACATTGTAAATTTTAGTTTTTTAGAACTTTCAAGTTATTGAACAGATTTCAAGTACATAAACACCACGGACTGTGCACATTATGGTATGTATGTGTAAATAAAGACCATGCAATCCGTTCAATTTTCTATTAATTTTTTCGCATAGTAAACTAGTTATTGGTAGCTATTTAAACTGACGACGTGTCACATGACCTTTATTTTGAATAGTGACAGTACTATTTTCTGATGTGAATCTCTCATCAAGGTTGTTGTAGTCTGCTAATATTGAGAACCAAAAAGGAGCAAATCATATGTATGTAGTGTTCGCCTTTGACGATTACTTCGGCTCCATCTTGAGTTTTTAAAAAGTGTAGCGCAGTAATACCTCAGACTGCTTGGATGCTGGTGATCTCAAAGAGTCTTTTATGAAGTTTTTAATCTGAAAATAAGATTATTTTATTTATTTGCAGCAGGAGAGTTTTGGTTGATTTTCGAAACGGTTTCGGCGTAAATCTCTGCGTCATATTTCCACAAAGTATACAAAATACATATATTTATTTAACAATTGGTATGAGAGCACACCCTAAAAAAATTTATAATCTAAAAATTACACCTTGTTTAATAGTTAACAATATATTGACACTGCCAACAAAAGATAAGCTACAGCTAAATTGTCTGTGCATACGATACGAACATATCGTTTATATCTATTTAGAAATCGTTTAGCAAATTG